ACCAATGCATATGTGACCAGGTCCTTTTGAAGGTTAGTCTCTAGGTGACCAGACAAAAGCTTCCAAGCGTCTCTTATCTGCAAAATCTATTTCTTTCTATGTATAAATTTAGTTACATTGATTGCGTTCTAACTTCTAACCCTTCCACTTCTATCATTTTCATTTCCTTAGCGCAATATATAAGAAACGACGAGAAAACAAGGAGAAAGACGTGACGGAATTGATGAAAGTCGACGATGGTGCTATGGAACAGTTAAGGTGGTCATAGCCAAATATTGTTTCCACATCTGATCTGATTGATCAAGTCAGTACTACTACAATATTTTTAGTGATTCAATATACTTTGAGCTTCTAATATGAGTTTTTTATCAGTCCATTCTTTCTGGAATTCTTTATCAATTATTAGATTACTTTTAAATCTAACTTTTAGTCATTCCAAATCCTCATATTTGCCATCTGCTCCTCACTTTTCTCATGATTTTTTTATATATCACCAATATTTTTCCAATCTCTTAAACCATCTGTTTCCAGTAAACTCAATTGACCATAACATTGAAATAACTTACAGCAAAAACAATATACTTTATCCACATGCTTTGGGTAAACCAACCACTTTCTATCATCAGTTTCTTCATTACACAACTTTCTAAAATAATACTCCCTCTGTCCCATTTTATAAGATGTTTTGTGTAAAAGCACAAAGATTAAGAAATAGTTAATGCTTACCTTTTTATAAAAATTCAGCCAATAGAAAAAAAGACTGCAGAATTTAAATGGTCATAACATACTAAATAAATATAAATTATGCATAGAAAACTGGAAAAATCTTATAAAATGGAACAAGAAAAAAATGCTAAAACATCCTATAATTTGGGACAGAGGGAGTATTTATATGCAAAGTGCCTTTTAGTTATATAATCAAAATAGAAAACACAACATTCATATCTCTTTTGGGTCATTTTTCAATCAATAAATCTCTTGTTTTATTGTCAAGATTATTCCAATTCCTAGGATCATAAATATCAAAAGGAGGAAGTTCATCATCAACATTCACATTTTCCGTATTAGACGGATTTGACACGTTCTCATGAGACTCATTCAGATTATCATCTAAATTTTCACTTGAATGATCATGAGGATTCACACTCTAGGTTCTACACTAGGACTCGCACTAGCTGCATGTGTTTTTTTAACAAACTTATCCTGTTTGAAATTCTATAAATTGTTCTTGTTCTTTTCTCACTTTCTTTTGTCATTTCTATACAACACCATGATTAAATACAAAAGGATCAATGTCACCTGAGAATTGTCAAATGTACGTAAGAGAAAAAAACTTGAAAGCAATACAACCACGTCCTCGAATAGTCACTGCTTCCATGATGAATCCACCACATAAATCCAAAAACATTAGTCTAAATGTAAAAATTAAATAATTGAAACAATGAATACAAACTAACCAAGTAAATTCTAAAATTAATGGATAATAGATGTAGCTATAATTAGACTTTTGTTATTTTAAAACTGTTCTAGCAATTGTTAAGCAAAAGAACTTGTGCAGATAAAGAAAGATCATGGTTAAGGGAAATTTACCTCAAATGTCAAAACGAAACTGCAACTTGCAAAGAGATAAATTGATGAATATAAAGAAGATGATTAGGTTGTTTTGTGATTCGTGAGAGAGCTTGTGATTTTGATCATGATCGGAGTGAGTTTCAAAAACTAAAAGGAGGACAATGAAGAGTCGACGGTTTGATTTCTTTAAATTAGTTAACTAGGTTCATTGTTTTATGGCCCTTTTATGTTAAGTTAATTTTTTTGGGGACCTTTTATCTTATACACTTTCATGATAAATGGCCATGTTTAAAAAAAATACTTCAGCTCCTACAACAAAAAACAAATAATTTTGGAACCTCTAATTTTTGGACCTCAGGCAAATGCCCGTGCGACGGGGCTGAGGTGGTCGAAACCAGGACAGGCCCTTGGCAAAGTCCAGTGAAACAATTGCTTTGGCCCCCAAAATTTTTCCGATCTTAAATGTTTTGTCATGTGTTTCCACATTTCTTTGTATGGTTATGGTTTTAGGTTCTTACACGGAACTAAACCATACCTATCTTTTTACCGATATTTTTTGTACATATTTTTTTTTGTTTATTAATAAATTTAACATTTCAAAAAAAAATATTAGATAAAAGAACCCTGAGCAACTTCATTATGTAAAAAAAAAAGAAAAATCATGTATCAGCGCAGTGGAGTTAGGTCTGATGGATTATATTTAAAAACCTAAAACTAATTTACCTAATTTAAAAATTAACAATTGTTAAATACATACGTACCAAGCGTAGCCCGGAATAACTCTGAGCATTTTTATATATGTTAAAAATTTATTTACAGATAGATGGTGCTGTACCATTGGTGCATCAAGTAGCAAAGTAAGCGTCAGTGCAAAACTATGAACGAAAAAGATGGTATGTTTGAAAATGGTTTCTAGCTACTACATATTCTATTTAAATATTATCAAAGTATAATAATTTATACTGTGATTACTGATCAATGATCATAATGCGTGGAAGGTGGAACTTATTATATTGTTAACAATATTATCGAAGTACAATAATGTGACTACTGATGCATCGTGTCATCGTGACGTACGTAAAACAAGAACACCTTCAAAGTCAAATACCAGAGAAAGATTTGTCGCTACATGTGTTCTTTAATGAAATATGGAAGCTTCATTATTTTGGAGTTTAACAACGACTTATTCAGTCACATTTTTATAATTTGTTGCTCGATCGTGGGACACGCTGAATTTATTTTTATTTTTACCAAAAGGTTTTATATTGAATTGGAAGTTTCATTTACTAGATCACTGAACTAACCAAGGATAAGTAATTGAACATGGCCAAGATTAGTAAAAGATTGACCAGTTGAGTTATTAGTCTCAATCTTATTTTCATCTCCCTAACATGGTAGTCCTCATCAGAGTCAAAGAGTTGTATATTTGAGCATTTTGAGGAATGGTCTCTCGTTGAGTTGTTTGAAATAAAACAAGAATCGATTCTATCACCAATAGACCAAGAAAAATATTTGGTGAATAAACAGTACCCTAAATTAGGCTACTAAAATGTGACCAATTGTTTGTCGAACCGGATACCTAGTAACTTTTTTTTTTTTTTTTTTTTTTTTTTTTTTTTTGATAAACCCTATCGGCTATCCGGTCGGTCCCGGTAGGAACACACCGAGGTGCTACATAGTGGACTGGTCCACCGTGTTAACGGCTAGGCCCTTCGGGCTACCACTCTGCCTATCCCGAGTTTGGAATGTCTTCCGACTAAGTGCCAGGAGTAGTCAGGCCGCCTGCATTTCTGACTACCAGGTAAACCAATTGGACCAAAACCCAACTGACAGACTTCCCACAATAATGTTGATAACAGCAGGAGGGAGGAACCGAACCAAGGAGAGGAGGGAGTTGCACCCAACCACCCTGGGCCCGCCAAACCACCAGCCCACCATCATGTGGGTTATACCTAGTAACTTGTTTGCTAACCATAAGTTATTTTGCTTAGGTTTTACGGTTCATAAGTTACCAATGTATCTATATGACTATATATATATGTTCAAGATTTTGAAAAACTATAAATAACTCAATGATAAATATAGTCATGCAATGAATCATCCTATTTAAATACTTATATAATGGTATAAATAGTTTAGTTTTAGTCACGCGAGATCTCTCATTGAATGAATCATCCTATTTAAATACTGTAGTAGTTAAGAGGAAATCAATAATGAAAGACTATAGTATTATTAACGTAACGTCAATTAATAACCATGTACGTAGTAACAAAGATAAGATCGAAAACAAGATCTGGATGACTAGATCTATATAGTAAAATAAAGTAGAAATGAACAACAAGGCCTGGTTGTGGTATATTTAAAAAGAGGACATTAAGTTAATATAGTCTTTCATTATTGATTTCCACTAACATATAAAATTTTAGTTTATAGTTTAGACACGTGGGTTATATATTGAATAACAAAAAAATAATGCAACGATATAGATCATGGAATGAGTCCTCCTATTTAAATAATTGTACTATATCATAGTGGGATAAGTAAATGCAAGTCAATAACAAATTAATAACTTAACGTTGATAAAAAAGATACGATCCAAAACTCGATCTGGATCTATACAATACAAAATTTTTTTAAAAAGAAATATAATAAGGTTTAATCTTTGATTAGCTACTGTGAACTACAAAACGATTTATATGGGATTAAAAATGGTTGATTTTAAAAAAAAAAAAAAAAAACTGAAAGAGTTGAATGAACATTTATTAATCTTTTACCACTTGAACTGAATAAGTTGGAAAAATAATTTAATTGATTCAACTAAAAAGAGTAGAAAAATGAACAAATCATAAAGGAAATATTTTTTTTTTTTTTTTTTTTTTTTTTTTTTTTTTTTTTTTTTTTAAAGGAAATATATAAGGGTCAATTTTAAATTCATTCATCTACTAATTTACAGAGAAATGAGTTGAATGATATTATTCGAATATAGAAAATTGAGCCTTATATTTTTTCTTGGAATGAATTTAAAATTTTATTCATCAAAAAAAAATCTTTATTATACATCAAGTCATCTTATGAGAGAATTTTTAGGGTTCTATTGTTTTACAATCTAAAGTCGAGAAGGATACCAAAGTATGAGGAGATCATTGTAGACTTATCCTAGCCAGTTAAAATTGAGCCATATTATTTTGAGCAACAAAAGATTGAAAACTTTATTTTTTGGACACATACACTATTTGTTTAAAGACACGTTTTATATTATATATCCCACGCATAATACAATATGTTTCAAAGAAAGCAAGAACACAATGATCGAGATTATGCAATGAATCATCCTATATAAAAATAATTTTACTAAACAATTATAGTTTATAGTCACTCATTACCAAACAATCAAAATCTCTATATAAAGAACTCCGTTTAGATGTAAACAAATCATCACAAACTTGTTCTCTTCAAGAATACAAGAAACCAAAATGGCATTGCAAAAGTTTCCTCTCATGGGGCTGCTTTTGCTCCTAACCATCGTCGTCTCTTCGACAACAGCCGTCGATGATCCTGTTTGCCCGACTACGTCCAAACTAAGCCGAGCAAGTTTCCCTAACGGTTTTTTGTTTGGCACGGCTACTGCTGCGTTTCAGGTACAACATATTTACTAAATCATAGCTCAAAAAAAGAAAAAATTAGTGTCGTTATTGTTTAGCCATCTAAATATGCTTTTTGATAAAAAAAGTTTTCATGCTCGAAATATGTTATAAACTATCAATTGAGATCATTGGTGCGTGTGAATATTTCCTCAACTCATCAGCTATTTTCGTTATGTCATTAGGTTGAAGGTGCAATTAACGAAACATGTCGTGGACCGGCTCTATGGGATATCTTCTGTAAGAGAAATCCAGGTGAGTGTGTACTCCTATAATCTATATTCTCTCTATACAATATGTTTAGATACCTATATTCATTCACTCTTTACTTTTAAATTATAGAGAGATGTAGTGGCCATAACGCCGATGTGGCCGTTGATTTCTTCCATCGTTATAAGGTATATATTAATATAAATTTAAGACAAATATAACTTATATTCTATAGATTAATTAGTCCATTTTGTACGAGATGTTATTGAAAATCTGTCTCGTCTTAAAAATGTTTGTAGGAAGATATTCAACTAATGAAGAATCTAAACACAGACGCATTCAGACTCTCAATCGCATGGTCAAGAATATTTCCTCGTGAGTATATATATGTGCTAAAGATCTCTAGTTTAATTTATAATCGGAATTTGGTGGATTTAGATTTATGTGATTGTTGAAATATCAATAACTAATGAAACAAACTAATGTTTTATTAGATGGGAGAAAGGAGAAGGGAGTGAGTCAATCTGGTGTGCAATTCTACCACGATGTCATCGATGAGCTCCTAAAAAATGGTTAGTATACATATAAACTAATTACTTATCAAAAAAAGAAGCAAAAAGGTATCATTATTTAACATTTCTTTCTATTTTACATTGTAACCAGGCATACTTCCCTCCGTGACTGTTTTTCATTGGGACACTCCACAAGATTTAGAAGACGAATATGGCGGTTTCTTAAGCGAAAACATTGTGTATGTTTTTGTAAATTAAAAGAAATACGTTAAGTTTCTTGGACAGTCCAAATAGAATTTATTAACTTAATATCCTTTTTTTTTGCAAAAATACAGGAAAGATTTCCGGGAATATGCAGATTTTGTTTTCACAGAATACGGTGGAAAAGTGAAAAACTGGATCACTTTCAACGAGCCATGGGTTTTCGCTCATGCAGGTTACGATGTAGGCAAGAAGGCACCAGGACGTTGTTCTCGTTACCTTAAAGGTTGTGAAGACCGAGATGGACGATCCGGTTATGAGGCTTATCTAGTCAGTCACAACCTCCTCAACGCTCACGCAGAAGCTGTTGAAGTTTTCCGCCAAAAGGTAAGTTACATTGGATATCAGGCCCGGCTCAAAAATATTTTGGACCTTGCCCATTTAAATTTGTTTTTGAAAATGTTCCATAATATAAAATTTTAGTGCCTTATTTGCAGTATATTTAAAATTTGGGACACTTAAAAACACATTAAAAAAAAACTAAAAAAAAACTGTAAGACCGAGTCCTATAGCACTGTCAGCACTACCTCTAAGCCGGGCCCGTTAGATATATATTAAAATTAATTATTAGCTTTCGAATCTGAAAAAAGTTTGTTTTGTGTTATGTTTATGGATATAGGTTATAGGTGGGAAAATCGGAATCGCACATAGTCCGGCTTGGTTCGAACCACATGATCTTAAAGATTCAAATGACGCTCCAACTGTCGGCCGTGTACTTGACTTTATGTTGGGATGGTAAGTATATATATATATTGTTAGACAATGAGTTCTCGTATAGTATAATTTCATTAATTTAATTAATGGAGTTCTGATTATGATTTGTAGGCATCTAGACCCAACTACTTTTGGAGATTATCCACAAATCATGAAAGACCTTCTTGGCCACAGATTGCCTAAATTTACGAATGCGCAAAAAGCAAAATTGAAAGATTCGACCGATTTCGTAGGGCTTAACTACTATACTTCAACATTTTCAAACCATAATGAGAAGCCAAATCCGTCTACACCAAGTTGGAAGCAAGATTCTCTTGTTGCCTGGGAACGTAAGTGTTTTTTTTTCCTTACATGAAACCAAACCAAGAAACTAAAAGAAAAAAATGTGTGTTCCTCTTTTGAAATTCCTAATTAATACTAATTGATATATATACATTTTCACTTTTAATTTTTCAGCTAAGAATGCCGATCACAGCGCCATTGGTAGCCAGGTAAGCGTCTAATACTTTAATTAAACTAGTCCTAGTTTGAGATTGTTGTAACAACTAAACATTAATATACATTTCTCCATTGTTTTATTTCAGCCTCTTACTGCTGCATTGCCCGTCTACGCTAAAGGTTTTAGAAGTCTTTTAAAGTACATCAAAGATAAATACGCAAACCCGGAAATTATGATCATGGAAAATGGTAACTCGAGATTTATTGTTATATTTGTGTGTTGATTTTGGTTTAGAGTAATATATATTGATCTTAATGTTGTTTTACTAGGATATGGAGATAAACTTAGGGACAAAGATTCGGTTGAGGTTGGTACTGCTGATTATAACAGGAAATACTATCTTCAGAGGCATCTTCTGGCTATGAACGAGGCTATTTGGTAAGCCTTTTATTATTTGTTATTTGATAGAGTAACAATTCTATTAATGAATGATCTAATTAAGAACATTTGTGTATGCGCAGCATCGATAAGGTGAGAGTTACGGGATACTTTGTATGGTCATTGTTGGATAACTTTGAATGGCAAGATGGTTACAATAACAGATTCGGACTCTATTACGTCGATTTCAAAAATAACCTCACACGTTATGAGAAAGAATCGGCCAAGTATTACAAAGATTTCCTAGCTCAAGGTGTTCGTCCATCCGCGATCAAGAGGGATGAGCTTTAAGTTATATTTTGAGGATTTTGTTTTATGTTCAATGTTTCTTTCCTATGTTTTAGTTTGTGATTGACCATGATTCATGAAGATCTTGGTTAATAATAATAAAAGTGTTTTGTTTTTCTTCAGTCTCTCTAGCTTATTTGACAAGATCAAGTAGTGTTTTCAATTCTGGCCAAATTAAACGTTTATTCTTTCTTTCCGTCAAACAAAAATATATATAGAAACAGAATCTATTGTCATACGAGCTCGTGTGCCGAGAACTCCTCTAAAGATGTAAACTCCATCACACTCCTTACCGGCACTAACCAACATCTTCATAGTACGGTTTTCAAAAACTCATTAACCTTCGAATAAAAGTAAATAGAACCGTTACCAACTTTCAAGAGTTTTGAAACCGAGAGATTAAAGAACACTAGAAATCAGGTGAGAACTACACTCATTATTTGGGAAATTCAAATTCTGTGTCGTATGTGTTTGATAATAAAATCCTCAAATTATGTCTTACAATTAATTTATCAAAAACGATTTATTCTCAAAAATAAAAACCAAAATATTATGTAAAAATTGATTTTCGAGAATTTTTTTTTGGAAAAACAAAAAATTCAAGTACCAGAATTTTGAAAGGACAACTCATTTTCATAATGTTTCAGTGATAGCTCAATTTGTTTATTAAATTGAGAATTCTTATGTTATAAATTGCATATTAATGGTAATATAGAAAAACAGCCAAAATCAACCCAAACTATTTACAAGCGGCCTTTTTCAATCCGAACTCAAACCTCCTGTATTTATCAACCCAAACTTCAAAAAAATTCAAATTACAAACACACTCTGTAACTATTAGCCAATTTTAACATCTTTCTTGACAGCGACAAGAGACCGTTAATTTATGCTGAGTCAGCGACACCTTGGCGATCACGTGGCATCTGGGCGGGACAAAACGACGGCGTTTAACAATTGTTGGTTCTTTGTTTAAATAACAAATACTAAACTACGCCGTTTAGAATTCGGGTTGAATAAAAGTTGCCTGCAAATAGAATATGTTGATTTTGGCTGTTTTCCTGACCGTAGTAATATCAAACTTCGATTAGAATAAAAAAAAATTCTGGGGCATTTTTGATATTTTAGAAAAGTATAGTCCTTATCTTATAAACTATTTTTAACTAAAACGCGGAAACGCATTAGCTGGCAATCTTTCCTTTTGTTCTTTTTTGGTAATTGTCTAATTTTGATAACAGACGCAAAACGCCCCCTAAATCGAGTAAATTTACAAAATTACCCCGCTGACCTAGACGTATAAATAAAATCCTTTTCCTCTCCATTAACCCGTAAAAATTCACAAGCTATTTTTCCCCTTTCATCATCAAATTTCTCAAAGAAAGAAAAAATCCCCAAAAGCTTTCCTGAAAAACCCTAAACGCCGATCTCTCCATCTTCTCCGATCTGCCTTGTTTCCTAAATCTGGTAAAGTTTCGATTCCTGATTCATCTTCTTTAGATGATTTCGCGTATAATTTTTCCGATTGATTTCAATTATTTTTTCACTTTTTCGATTACGAATCTAGATCTAGAGCTTTGAGCCATGTTTCTGAGATGCAATTACAAGTTTCCGTCAATTTTCTTGTGGTATCGTTTATGAGAATCGTGTTCTAGGTTTTAGGAATTTGTTGATTCATATGTTCCGATAATAGGATTGTTGAATTCGAGCAGTGGATATGATTCATCGTGTAATCTTATAATTCACCGGTGAGGTTCTTGTTTTTGTGTAATTGAGGCTAATTGAATCTAGATCTAGAGCTTTGAGCCATGTTTCTGAGATGCGATATGAGTCTTTGTCAATTTCCTTGTGGTGATTTCTTGTTTTCTCGGTATCGTTTATGAGAATCGTGTTCTAGGTTTTAGAAATTTGTTGATTCATATGTTCCAAAAATCGGATCTGTTGAATTCGAGCAGTGGATATTATTCACCTTCTTGGATATTGTGTAATTGAGGCTAATTGTTATTGTATTTACCCTAATTCGTTCAGGTATCTGAATAGCCAAGTTTGATTTTATTGGAGTGAAGATGTCAGACGCTTTGAATATGACTCTTGATGAAATTGTCAAGAAGAGTAAGAGTGCAAGGTCTGCAGCTGCAAGATCTAATGGAAGTAAAGGAGTTTCGCGTCGTGGACGTGGACGTGGTGGACCTAATGGTGTTGTAGGAGCTGGAAGAGGAGCTGGACCTGTTCGTAGAGGTCCTCTTGCTGTTAATGCTCGGCCATCATCCTTTTCGATAAACAAGGCAAGCTCATAATCTGGGATGTTCTATGTGTTTCTGTGCCACCAAATACCGAAGCGTTTCGGAATCATGCTAAAACTTAAAGATTGATGCACTCGTACACATTTTTTTAGCACTCAAAAACTTCGTCTGGATTCTGGAAGGATACTGTATCATTCCTGAAACACAGATTACAAGGATCTTCTAACATCTTGTAGTTTATGGAGACGGTTTCTCTTAGAAAAGCCTCTTAGACCTGCAATTTTGGTGTACTTAGTGTTAAATTCTGGGGACTTCAACAGGCATGCATAGATGCGGAGAGGTTTTTATGATAGTGTCACTCAGTCTACTTTTACTAAAGAGCTCCAGTTAGCTAAGTAGTCCACATAGGGTTATATGGTGTTGTTCTTTTAGATCAACACAGGGGAAAAGGCCTGCCAGTCTTGTGGTCTTTAGGAGGGGATTTCAGAAATTTCACTTAACAGTAAATATGATCTATGATGGCTTATCCCTTTTCGTAAGGGTATTTGCACCATGCATGAAGTTCATGATTGGCCTCTTGCTACATCTGGAATTTCTTCGGAGTTTGATGGCAGACTCAGTTTTTTGTTTCCTTGCTACAAGTACTATGTGTTTGGCATCAGAGGCTGACTGATAGCATCTGTATGATTCATATGAAGTTGGGGTCAAAATTGCATGTTTCCGCGCATTTCATTTGGTTTCTCCTTCAATGGTTCTTTACTACTACGTCCTGGAGCTCTTTACCTTGACTGGTTTAGTACTTTCAGGCAAATGGGTGGTTTCTCATCTTAAAAGAAATTTGTTGATTAATGTGTGGCTTCAAGATTCTACAGACCCTTTTAGCTGACTTGATCTGTTCTACTGGATTAGCTTGCCCGCAGGAAGAGGAGCTTGCCATGGCAGAATCAGAATGATTTGATTGAAGAAAGCCTGAGAGCTGTTGGGGTATCAAGAGTGGAAGTCGGAACCACGGTTTATATTACCAACCTTGATCAGGGAGTGACAAATGAAGATATAAGGGTATAGCCTGTCATCTAAGTTCCAGTGCTTTGTTGTTTTGGTTCTATGAGGAAGGTCATTAAAATAGTTTGTACTACTATGGAATCTAGGAACTCTATGCTGAGATTGGAGAGCTGAAAAGATATGCAATTCACTATGACAAAAATGGGCGTCCAAGTGTAAGTTCTTTTTGTTTTTTTTGCTCTGGTTTATTCGTTCTTTAAAGCGAGGCTATAATATTTGATTTCTGATGTTATTGCGTCATACAGGGCTCGGCTGAAGTTGTGTATATGAGAAAAAGTGATGCATTACAAGCTATGAGGAAATACAACAATGTACTCTTGGATGGAAGGCCTATGAGACTGGAGATTCTTGGCGGAAGTGCTGAGGCTGCTCCTGTCGCAGCTCGTGTTAATGTGACTGGATTGAATGGAAGGATGAAGAGGAGTGTTTTCATTGGGTATGTTGCCATCTCTTGGTCTGTTTTTTACAAGAGAATAGTTTCGAATTTATGTACTGAAGTGGATATATCACTGATTCTTGCAGACAAGGCGTTAGAGGTGGGAGAGTAGGAAGAGGAAGAGGTTCAGGTCTGTCTGGGAGACACCTTCCAATGTAAGTGTTAAAGAGTCTGAGCTCGCATTTATATGAGAGTGGTTCATGCATCGGTTTAATCATCTGATCATATCATATTGTTTGTGTGGCAGCCAACAAAACCAACAAGGAGTTGTGAGAGGTGGTCGAGGCGGGTTCCGTGGTAGAGGCCGAGGTAATGGTGGTGGCAGAGGGAATAAAAGCGGCCGAGGTGGAAAGAAACCGGTGGAGAAGTCTGCTGCAGACCTGGACAAAGATCTAGAAAGCTATCATGCTGAAGCTATGAACATCTCTTAAGCAGAAACAAGACTTCGCATCTTGTCATGTACTCTGTGTTCTTTTATTCTTAAGTCTCTGACCTCAGATGTGCCAAAGTCTGGTTTGGTTTGATTTCGTTTAGAGTGGCTCTACTTTGCTTTTGTTTTCCTCTTTTGCTGCTTCACGTTTACAGTCACTTTGGTTATTGAAGTTAAAAAGAGATTTAGTTTGTAAATGAGAAAGCTTTTATTGTTAGTATATTTGATACGAAATAATCTGTTAGTCAATTGTTAATTGTATTAGTTTAGAGTTATAATATGTTGCCGAGCTTACAGAAAATTTTTTACTCCAAATTCGTGTTAACTAATCTAGTAATGTTGCACACTTAGTCTTGTACAACTAATTTCACGTTTTTAGACGATACTAAGATTATGATAGATCAAAAACGAACAATGGGGAAAAAAGGACCATTAGAATGTTATCTTGGTTTTTGTTGTGTACAAAAATCGAATCCAACACAATCGGTCTGAAATCTAACTCCAATCCCACCTAAGAAAGTTAAAAAAATCTTCTCGAAACAAAAAACATTCCTAAGTTCGAAAGATTTTTCACAAGATATTAGCAACATTCAAAATCATTACTGTCAGAATGCTCCATATACCCCGACTGTAATACAAATCACTCTGTATTCCAGACGAGGTCGTTGAATTTGCTGATGGCGCTGTTATGTTCACAGACGTCCCGTTTCTACCATTACCGCGACTGCAATCGAGGAAAAACACAACGATTAAAAATTGCTACTTGTGAAGATTCTACAATATGAGTGTTCCATCTGGATTAACTGATCTGAAACTGAAAAAAAATCAAAATCCTAACACGATTTACGTGAGGTCGTTCTTTTTAATCCGAAAAACCAAAAGCTATATCTTAAGTAGACATGAAACCATAATAAACAAGATTAAAAACTTGGTACTTCCATGAATATGAATGTGCAATTCGTATAAACCGACTTGCTTTGAGATTTAAACATATGATTGATAAAATTCCAACCAGAACCGAAAATAAACCGTACCAAATCGATCCATTTCCTAACCAAAACCAGGATTGAACATATCTACCAAAAAAAAAGGGAATAAGGAAACATAATAATATACCTTCCAGCAAACACACATGTACCATGACCTGCATTGAAACCACCAAGCAAGAAAAATTAGCTTTTTTGACAAAAAAATAGTAATACACAATGTAATGTAATAATCAAATTCAGCTTGTTGTTTCTTACTTGGATCTGTGGTGGTGATACTAGCAACTCCATTGAAGTTGCAAGCATCAGGATCATTCCCAGTCTGATGATAATAAGTATCAAACGCGTAGTTCGCATGCGCAATCACATTATCCGGTTCATAACAAGTCTCTCCTTGCTTAATAGGCGAGCAATCGATCTTCCCGGGGCCACAAGCCCAATCAAGAGCAGCTTGAAGCATCTTTGGATCAGCACCTTCTCTTGCAGTACAGTAAGTCTGGTTCGTGGTATCATTAGCTAGAACCGAGCCAGAGTTAGTCAAACGAAGTACGTAAACCGGTTCACCATTTGCATTAAACAAACCCCAATTCTTCTCTGATAAAGATCCTGCTTTTGTATCTTCGTTGTAGAGCTCGTAAATGTAAGTACTTACAGCGATTCCCGGGCGTTTAGGAGTTCCCGTCTTGTTGAGAACATGTCTTATGAGGTTGCTGTTGTAAGTGTTGGCGTTATCTAGTGTAGCATCAGGCTCATTGGTTTCGCCTTTCGAAGGCCAGCCTGATTCAGTTACCAAAACCGGAATGTTCGTGAAGTTCAAATAAGCCATTGCGAAATACGTTGCATCAACCATAGCATCAAAGGCGTTTGAGTAGCGAACAAGTGTGTTGGCATCAACAGCTTCTTTGTTTGGAGGAATCGGTTTGAAGAGCGCGTAGTCTAGAGGAATCACGCCGTTTGATTGCATATAGTCATAGTAAGGATACACATTCATCATCAGGTATGAGTTTGTAGACTGCAAGAAGCTTAGTAACGGGACTATAACCGAATTCAAGGAGCGGTTAAAGAAAGCTTGTGACGGAGGAAAAGGGTCAAGAATCAAGGAAGTGGATAAAGGAGTAGAAACTTTGATCAACCGATCAAGATTCGACGAAAGTAAAGCAGCATGAACATTCTTTATAGCACTGACTAGAACAGGTGCTGCATTAGAGAGACTAGTCAAAACCTCAGAGCCAACAGAAATTGCGGTTATAGTCGTTGCAGGGTAATGCGCAATGACATTACGTTTAACCCAATTCGCCGCGGTTGAATTGGATTGACCAATACCAAGAAGCTGATCATTAGGAATTGAGATTATAACTTTGATTCCAGTGTTTGCTAAAGCAATCAACATCCCGGGATCAGCATCGTATAAACGGATATGTCGAATTTGTTGAGCTTTTAGTAAAGCAACAACTTGTGTTGGATGTGGCATATCCGAAAGATCGGTCCCTATGTTAACTCCAATATATGAACCTACAAAATTTTGATTCCAACAAAACCATTAGCATCAACATAACATTTAAACATAAAGATTTATACTTTCTCTTGGTACATCAAAATCCTAAAACTCCAAGATTTGGATTCATATACTTTACTAAAAAAAACACTGTTCTCTGGTCAAATTATTAGTCTTGTAATAAATATTTGGGGACAATAAAATTCACCATTCTTGTTACTTAGTGAGCATTTAAAAACAAGCCCACCTGCCAAACACACATACTGACATTTATTATCATAACCTACCACTCTCTCAAACACAATGACTCAAATCAAACACACATAAATCCAAATAATACATTCAAAAATATTGTCTTTAAGCTTTCAAGTGTTCTTAAATTACATTAATCACTGACAGTGTTATTACTACCTCAAAAATGGAACATTTATGTTTCTAGAAGAACAGTAACACATGCAAAAATTAAAGCTTTCAAATTTGGGTTTAAAGATTGAATCTGGAACTCAAAGCCTAAGATTGAATCTTGATATAAGAACTCACCTTCATCAGCTGGAGGAGAAGGAGAAGCTGAAGCAAGAACTAAAAGAGAAAGAGAAAGGAGAAGAAGAGGAGCCATGGAAAGAGAGAGACTTTTTGGAGAATCTAAGATAAACCCAAAGAGAGGAGAAACAGAGGAAGGGCAAAAGAATGAGTTTTGAGTCTAAAAATGTTAACTTTGTGAAGAATAAACAAAAACCCACAAAGAAAGGAATGAGAGAAATTGCGTGGGTTAGAGAAAATAGGGTAAAGCTTCTGAGAGAAAAGGACATTGAGAAAAAGTTGTTGATTATATCGAAAGAGAGAGATATTGGTAACGGTGGAATGGACGGCTGAGATTTGATCTTGAGATTTCAAATAGTCAAAATGAAATCTAACGGTCTTGTTACACAGTCAGAGAGTGGTACTGTAGGAAAGAAAAGCCTAGAACTTTGGGTCTTAATTAGCTTTTTTTTGTTAATCACTAATATTAATATTCTTTATGATTAATTTTGAGTAGATTAGTGTGAAACATAGTACTGAATATTATGTAAATATAAAATGTACTCGATAAACTGTATTTTGGTATATGATAAAATGTATTCTATATTTGTATATATTTTGGTGTTTTTTTGTTTTGGGTATAGTAAATGTGAGTTTTAAAGAGCACAACTTTTGGTGTAAGAACAAGTTGTGCATTGGACAGCAAAATAAGTTGGTAACTACGAAATAGCCGTTGCCACTCTTTTGTTTGTTTCCCTCTATTTCTCTCAGTCTTCATTAGATTTGCTCCTTTTTTACCTTACTTTTATGATTTTATCTTAAATTATCTATTTATAAGTTGATTCGTTTTCTTTTTGTTTCTTATTTTTTATAATTGTTACCCATACTAGTAGTAACTTTCAATTACTACATAGTCTTATAATACTTGCTTTTTTTTCTTAATAGATTTATAAAATATTTGAATATTTAAATCATTAATAATTTTTGTTCTTCTATAAATCGTGAATTAATTTGACTATTAAAGATTTTATATATTATTTTGTTTCCAACATTTATTAATTTATTTGAAACATATTTTCGGGAATAACTGGATGGTTGAATTTGTTCATTGTGGAAATATGTTGTGTATGTTGGCACTTTGATGAGCATGGACAAGCAATTTAGCCGTTTGAGACAAACCTAACTCGGCCTACAAAATTTTGTTAAATCTGTATATTGATATTTATAAATTTATGCTTATATCACTTTTTGCGGATGGTTGCGGGAGAACCAATCAAGTTCTAAGAAGAAATTAGGGGATTGTTGGTTAAGGGATATATATTATATATATATATATATATATATATATTACTTTTTTGCTAAATATAGATGATTATTAATAAATGTATTGTGAGGATTTTAATAGAACGTTTGTTGTTTTTGACCTTTAAATGATAACAAGGATCTCGGTTATGGACATTAATTCAATAAACTTTTAGATTCATTCTGGAAGGACTAAAGAATATACTGGGAAAAGAGATTGGAATAGCATATTGAAAAATGTGTGAAGACAATGTCCGCGACACAAGTGACAAGCCATGCCCATGCACAAAAGTATCTTGCAAGGCAAAACTTGGAGAGTAAGGCCAGGGCCGGTCCGGTAAAATTCGGGGCCAAATATGAATTTTTTTTTTAGAGTTTTTTAAAAGTAAAAACTGCTAATTTTTTTTTTTTTTTGCTAATTATGGAGTATTTATAATTTTTATTTAACAATTTTTCTTAATTTTTGGACATTGTTTTCTAAATTATAGGACTTTTTTGCTAATTATGAGGTCTTTTATTAATTATAGGGTATTTTTGTTTATTTTGAGACCTATTTTACTAATTTTGAGGCCTATTTTACTAATTATGGGGCTTTAAAAAAAATATTTACAAAAATGGGGCTCAAAAATATGAGGCCCAATACACGTATCCTACAAATTGGTAAGAACACATAATAAATCTAGGAATTTCCAATGCTTCATGAAAAAAAAGTATTTGTTCTCATGAAACAGAGACTACCTCGAAAATTAGTTCATGGATTGCCTCCACTTCGGTAAATACGAAACCTCTTGACCACTAGAAAAGTGACTGGATTGACTCGCAGTTTGAGAGAAGTTAGAGAAGAGCATACCCCTCCCTATCCCTAAGTGAAAGTATATATTCTATTTTCGGCAAAGGCACTCTCAAGAAAAGACGTGAAATCTAGTTGAGTTGTCTTATCTATCACTAACTCAAAATATTGTAAGAAGAAGAAGAATCTTACGCCCCAAATTCCCGAGACTGTTTGTTAGGTAGCTTAGCGAGATAGGGAGCAGCTATGGAACAAGGGAACTTGAAGCGAAATTGAGACTCTAAACCCTAAATTGAAGCGAAATCAAAAGAAGAATTGAGACACAACAAAGCGAAATTGAGACTCTAAACCCTTGAATAAAGTGAAATCAAAGGAAAAATTGAGACATAACAAAGCTATAACGAGTACGATAAAGAATCCATGCTTCACATTTCTAAGAAACCACAAAATTAGTTGAAACAGAGATCAGGACTAAGAGGTTAGACTTTGAACTTAATCGTATTCAGGTCAAATGAACTTAAACATCTACTATACAAATGAACTTAAACTTCTACATCACACTACATATTGAAAGAAGCTTCATCAAACCACAATAATGCTAGTGGTTCCCTCCATCTCTTGCTCCTTCCATCTCTTTAGATATTCTGATATAATTGTGTAGTCCCTGTCGTTGTCTTCTTCGATTTCACTGGGCTTCCACTGTCTAGTGTCAGTGAGTGAGGTAAGTGTCGAAACAACATACATCATCTCTGGTCTCTGTGTGAGTTCCTTGGCGCAGTAGTGAATGGCCAGTTTCGCTACGTCGTCGATGATTCTGCAGTTCTCTATATTATTATGTTTTGCTTATGTTTTGGCTTATATTTTGCTTATCGTTTGCTCATTTTAATCAATATTTTCAAAACCATCATTAGTTATTTGATTTCCATTTTGTATATAAATTTTGCATACAAAGGGAGATGACCATTTCCTCTAAACTTATCAAGAAAAACAAAAAACAATCTTAACCTAAAAAGAGTTACAGAGCTAATAATGTCCGCACAAAAAATTCAATTTGCCTTTCTGCTCTTAACTATTTGTCTTCTTTCTTCTCAACTAATTGCTAAACCAATTGGTAACATTTTCTTCCTCTGTTGAAAAAACCTATAAGAAATAATGCTACTTAAATTGAGTTAATTCATATTCTTTGTTTTAAGTTTTTAAATATTTTTTTCCAGGGAAATGTCACTACAAAGGTCCTTGTAAAACCGATAATGACTGCAAAATATTATGCACAGGTCCAGATGAAGATCCTACATTTCTAATGTGCATTAAGAACCCTTCAATTAATAACAAATGTTGTTGTGTACCACCTATCAACTAAAGAAAAATAGTTTTGTTTTACAATTATACATCCCTAGATTTGTATCATCATCTATCATAAGATTCAAAACTAATATGCGGATCATTTTTTTTGTAAAAGTATGATGTAGGTCATTATATATAAAAAAAAACGAAAGAAAGAAGAAGACTAACATCCTAATGGAAGCTTAATCAAATATATAAGATATTCAGAAAAATCTACTTGATTTACTGAAATACGTGTTCTGCGATATTGAGATTGATTTTGAGGATTCTATAGTCAGAAAATTATGATACAGTTGTGGTTTTTGTCAGCAAAACCAAAATGTTGACGCCTTACCACATTTTATTTGGTGGGACATGAATTTCCATTCATGAGTAAATGAAAGATGAACCAGATGATATAGATATACTCAAAGAAACACTGAGCATCCATGACATAACTCTGGGGGATGTCGGAAAATGTAATCGTTTCTGGATTCAGTTTGGAGTCTATCAGCCATATTTTGTTGACCAAATTACCACTACCAGGACAACCTCGAGCTTGTAATTAAAAACCACAATTTTCATTGAAAATAATGATAATACATAGTAGTTGTTCATACTAACTAAATGATCAATGATCATATTATACATTGTGAAAGAAACATTTATTTTGTTGGGACCAAAATGCCATTTCAACATTTAGTCAACTATTTGACATTTCAATGAATCTTTAGTCTTGCTACCTTTTCCTTTCTTATAACCTTTTGAATCTTCAAATTTCTCATTTTTTCTATACTTAGAGCTCTTGAGTAATAAGCTCTCATCATTGTTCCCCTCTAGTGATCCTTCTGATATACCAACGCTTATCTCGTCATGATCGATATCCTCTCTTATATAAGGTCTTTCGGAATCTTCGGATCGATCAAAACAATGATGACTCGATCCTTCCACGTATTCAATCCAATCAAGATAATCTTTTTTTGAAGCAAAGTCAGAAGGACTTTTAGTTGATTTTTCTGATTGATCTATTTGATCGCTTGTTTTAGTACTATTGTCTTCACGCTCATAATTAAGACCCTTTTTGCTAGAACCTTCGAGTTCGTCCACACGATTACGAGTACCATTCCTAATGGACCCTTCCATACGATCACGACCCCTAATCAAATCTTCAAGATGATCCATATGACTATTTTTAACCGAGCCTACAAGCTGATCCGTACCATCACGATTCGTGTTTCTAACCGAGTCTTCATCAAGCTGGTCCTTGCGATCACGGCCACCATTCCTAACCGAACGTTCAAACATATGGGATTGATCGTGATCGTCCATGTGAATTTTCTTTTTATTTGCCTTATCTTTTAGCATTAGCTTACGATGCATGGACTCCATAATCTTTGTAACCTTAGGAGTCTCCTTTGTTTCATTACTTTCCGCATTATCCGGCGAATGAGATTCCCGGAAAGGCTCTCCACCGTCTTCCTCTGACTTCATGGACCCGTCTTGGCGGAGCTTTTTTTGCTTGTGGAGCTTCACATATTTCATCGATAGTTTTTTGGTAATTTTCTTCATTTTCACCTTTTCTCTTTTGATCTCAACAAGTACTATAAAGACTTGTAAGATTTGTATTTTCAACTACTTGAAAACTTTTGTTTCCGAGAACTTATAGGCTAATGAAAAATATAGGAAAAATGAAGAAAAAGTTATTTATAAAGATAATGAACACCCAAAAGAAGTAATTCGTTTTGTTTATTTGCTGTAATTTAAAATATTGTTAATCATAAAACGCGGTTTTAACTTCTAAACAACACACTTTATAACCATCAAGGCAAAATTTAACATGAATTTAAGACAACAACAAAACTCTGTCCTACGTGCCAATTTTACCAGAATTTGAAGATTTTCTTGGCGACCAAATTTTAGCAATTAAGATAAATTAATCCTACTTTTAATATATATTTTTGGATTAACTAACTAGATCTTTTGAGTTTTAGTAGTTTCTTCTATTTTTAAAGAGTTAGAAATTTGTTAACATAATTTATGAATTCATATATGGTATGTATAAATCATTCTACAATATAATATGTATAATCTGATCCGACTACAGACTACTTCAGTACTTCAACATAGAAAGTAGAAAATCAACTATTTTATTTCTATTAGATAGACTATTAAAATTGGAATATATAAAATAAAGCGTTATTTTAAAAAAAAAATGTATCAATTAAAAAATACATTAGTCATCTCTAGGTAGGAGTACTTTTTGAGAGTTGTGAGAACTAAAATATATATTCGCACGAAATGACTAACGTTCCCAACTTCATCCATCAATATGTCCACAAGAACTGCAAAATGCCTATAAGTGAAAATTAAAAAACATTAGAAACGTGACAAAAACAAATGTTGATATATAACTAACCGAATTCTTATTCGTAAATGCTCATTGGTACAAGTAGTTTCAGACATTAGGAACAAAGACAAGTGGATATTTAATTTCACTAATTAATTAAGGACTTGAGCCAAGAACTCATTGCGACGTGAGTGGTCCATAATTTTTCTCATTTACTATGAGAAAGAAAGAAAAAAATTTGACTAAAAAAAAAAAAAGAAAAAAAGGATTTTGTCACAAGGATGCGAGAGAAGCCTGCGGAAGAGGATCAGGAAATGGACGGTCATGATTGTTCGGTCGATGAGTTTGCCGGAACAACCGTCCCGAACTACCGGAATCCTCCGTTTAGACCGGAAGTTTCACCTTCTCGGCTATTAACAGGTCGGTTCTTGAATCTTGATTAAATTTTGATATATCCGTCAAGACTTAATTTGTAGCTTTAGCATGTTCAAGAATCAAGATCGTCGAAAAACTTCAAACGCAGTTAGTCGAACTTACTATAATTGTATTTTCATCTCTAACCGAAAATAGTATAATTGCTATTTTCATCTCTAACCGGTATAGTAATGAATTTCTTACGTTGTAATCCATTTTAGTCCCGGGAAGACACTTAACTAGGTTTAACTAACCATACTTGGATATGCTAGCTTGTAAATTTTTATGGTATAAATAAATCTGAAAATGAATCAAGTAGTTTCTCTTCTTTTGTTTTGCAGAGAATGTGAGGAATGGATATTCCAAGTATTTACCTCTATCACAAGCAATAAGCCATGGAAACTTGGAGAGTGTAAGAGACTTCCTAGACAACAATCCAGACGCTTTGACTTCATGGATAGACACCCTAGAGACACCATTGCTCAAAGCTTGTAGTTGTGGACAACTAGAAATCGTCAAGGAGCTATTACAACGAATGACATCTGAACAAATGTTGATACCAACGGAAATGGAATCCCATTCCCCCCTCACACCTCTTTTAATCGCTGCTATGACCGGGAATTTGGGTATTGCAGAGGCCTTAGTCGAAAAATGCCCTAAGTTAACTGAGATTCCAAGCCGATTAGGGCGTGTTATACCCGTTATTAGGGCTGCTAATGCAGGACACAAGGAAATGACTCGCTTTCTTTATTATAGAACCTCTCTTTCCTTTTTACTCTCGGGTAAAGGATTTTGGGCTATCAATCTCTCTCACTATGCCATATTCAATGGAATTCTCGGTATGTTTCTTGGTCTTCAAGCTATTAAATCTTAAATGCCAAGATATCTCTATAATTCATTCTCTTATAATTGTTAGATATTGCCTCACACATCTTTGAAGTCCGTCCACGTCTGGTGGTGACTCAACATCGACGTCTAGAATCAACACCGCTAGGTCTTTTGGCATCAAAGCCTGACTTATTTGGAAGCGGCTACAATCTTTCATTTTGGCAAGGCCTGATCTACTCATGTACGTATACTTATGTATACTTATGTATACAATCATATGTGCACATAAATACTGTATGTGTACATATTTTTAAGCCATATATAATTTCCCACTTTTGCCTTGATGCAGGTATAGAAGTAAACCTACCAACTGATCCAAAGACTTCACTTTCAAACCCACATCTAAGTATGTCTATCTTCATTTTAACTATTTTTTATACATAACTACAAATTAAATATAACCAACGTGGTGTTGTCCCAGTGGTAAATTGAACATGGTGTGGACTCCGCCTCTAGGAGACGTAGGACCCTAGGGCTTGAACTTCCAGATATTCAAAAAAAAAAACTACAAATATAGTGGCTTTATTAAACATCATTTTGGAAATTGTAAATTCAACACAAATAAAAAGAAAAAGTAGGTGTGTACACATTTCTTGAAGCCTTCTAATTGTTTCTCTCAATTTGTACGTACTCAGGTTTACTTTCCAAGATAATTCACAGCCTTCCCAAATGGTTTGGTAAGTTTAGTCATTAGGATATACAAAATTTATAAAAGTATCATAATTTTATAAAATATTTAGAATTTTCATATAAAAAATTGTTTTTCCCACTAGATTACGGATATAGAAGATAGATAACATTTTCTTATACCATATGTTTGTTTGATATAGGAATCGAAGGGATATATGAACAAAAGGAAAATCATTGTTATGCTCAAAGCTTTCTACAAGGAATGTTCAGAGAAGTCTCCATTATGGACAAAGATGATAGTTGGACTAATGCAGTCCACGAAGCAATTATACGAGCCGTGAGTCACGGAAACAAGTTGTTTATTGTCGAGATGATCAAATCAAACCCTGAACTTCTCATGACCAATTATGGCGAATCTAAGAGAAACATCTTCCAACTCGCTGTTGAGTTTAGGAAAGAGAAGATATTTGATCTCATCTATGGCTTGGATGATAGGAAGAACATGTTGATATCATGGTACGATCATAAATGCAATTGGATTCTTCATATTGCCGGAGAGATATCCCCGCTTGATGAACTCTCTAAAGTCGCGGGTCCTGCTCTTCAAATGCAAAGAGAACTCCAATGGTTCAAGGTAATTTTTTTTTTGGAAGTCACCAAAAATTATTCAAAAATATATATATTTTTATTCAAAATATTCAAATATACTGATCACGAGGGCCGGTCTGTATATTTAGGAAGCATAAAGAAAATTAGCAAAAATTGTTACCTTTGTTAAAAATTTTTTTTGAATTTTTAGTATTTAATATATATCCAATTTGATATAAAAAGATTTAACAAGTTTCCTTACGATTGAAGACACCTGCGTAATTTACATGGGAACACTAGATTTCTTGTATTAAAACTAAAATAACAAAACAATACTTGTCTTTTTTTGTGAGTGCAGGAAATAGAGAGCATGGTACCAGATAATGAATTGGCTAGGAAAAACAAAAATGGCCAAATGCCGCGTGAAATATTTGAAAACTCTCATAGAGAGATGCGAGTCGAAGGGGAGAAGTGGATGAAAGAGACTGCGGCTGCAAATAGCTTTGTCGCGGCTCTCATTGCAACAGTCACCTTCCAAGCCATCTTCACTGTTCCCGGAGGCACCAATGACACCTCCGGAGACCCTCTCCATATCCGAGAAGACCGTTTTATGGTTTTTATTATCGCAGATACCCTCTCTTTTTTTGCATCTTGCACTTCTGTTCTCATATTCCTCAGCATTCTCACTGCTCGATACTCTTTCGATGATTTCCTTATGTCATTGCCCAAAAGGTTGATATGGGGTTTATGCACTCTTTTCATCTCTACTGCAGCCTTGTTAGTAGCATTCACAACTGCACTTTTCACGTCGCTATACAGTATGCCATTGCTTGTAATCCCGGCTATGCCACTCACTTTCCTCCCAGCTGTACTCTTTCTGCTATTGCAATTTCCTCTTCTCAAGACGATGATCTCTTCCACATATGGAAAAGGACTCTTCAATCGTGACACCACACGTTGGTTCTAAACCAATATTGTTTAATATGGTAATTAATACCTCTTTAATGACTATACATGTATACGTCTTATATAGTTGTATGTAATACATGTGTTTTATCGATTTTGAGTCATTGTTTTCTTTCTTATATGATATCTTTTATTAAGTCAAAGTATCTTTTTAGATTCTTTTAGTCTTTTATCGAGTTTCTACAGTTTTTTAGGTTCTTTAGAGGAAAACAAACTGTTTTGAGATATAAACACATATTTGGAGATGCAAATTTGTTTAGATGTGTCAGACGTTTATGAATATTTGACACAAGCTTGATAACTATGTTAGCTTTCATTTCCAATTAATTGTAAGGAAATGTAACTGTGCATTCAAGAATTATACCCGATTTAGTGAAGACATGTAATTCTGATAAGCAATTGAAGCAGTTGCAGAGTTTGGTACCAGAGAGTTTGTGGACCGATTGATCTCCTTCCTTGACAGACGAAAATCAGTTCTAGACACTACTTCATCGATCGCTCCACCTTGGGATCGATCGGTCCCTTCCCTGACATATTTTTGGCCCAGATTTGACCTGATTCACTCCAGATATGGCCCGGCGAGTCACCTATTGTTTTAAGACCCTAAGCTCGACTTTTTACAGATTATCTTTGATATTTTTCAGTTCTAAACTTTGTTCTTTGGTTTGTAAGAAACTTTTGGCAAAGTAATCCATCATCTTGACACTTGGAGAAGATTTCTAAACCTTTTCTTGTTATTTCTACAATTTCATCATGTTTTCTTCATTGATTTTTGTTACTCATTTGTGAATAGTTCGGGTTTAGGGTTCTAAGTAGGAGATTCAATGGTTTGATGATTTGATTGTCATTAGGTGTTTTCTATCATTGGGTTTCTTTGATTCACATGTTCTTAATGCTAGAATATGATTGATCACCATATTTTAGATTATATACAGGTTCTTTTATGCATCAAAGTGTTGGATAGAATGCTTGAATGAATGTGGATTGAGAAATGTATTTCTAGCCAACGAACGTTGATGTTGGAACGCATTGTGAACCAAATGAACTTGTTTGATAATGTGATTTTGACTAGGAAGTTACAAATGAAATTTTAGTAATCGCGTAGTCAAATTTAGTGACTAATGTCTTGAAAGAGAGTTAGTCTAATCTTTTGTTCATGGACGAGAACGATTCTTTATTGTTGAATTCCTTGTTTCTTATATTCTTGTAATCATTGATCTCTGAAATACCCTATGACCCAATGCTATTTATTATATAATTTCAATCGTTATGTCTTTCGTATTTTTATTTACAAACATAAAACCAAACAATCTTCCCGCTTTAGGTCCCGAGTCTCAGAAATTCTTAGTGTTCATTGGTTCTTGTGGATAAACCATGTATATACTACCTTGTGGTTAAGTGTATCGGGTAATTACTCGAACAATCATTATGCCATATGTATTAGTTTGGTTCACCATATTTTACTTCTACAGTAATATACATTCCAATATATATTTGCAATTTGTGTTGGGCTTTTTTACAATCAAGCAAATAACTTTGTTGTGGCTCTCATTGCAACATTCACTTTCCAAGCCATCTTACCATCTCCATATATATATCCTAGATAACCGTTTTTGGGTTTTAATTACCAAGGATACCCTCTCTTTTTTTGCTTATTGTACTTATGTTCCCTTATTTCTCAGCATTCCCATTGCTCGATACTCTTTCGATGATTGCCTTATGTCATAGCCCAAAAAGTTGATATGGGGCTAATGCACTATTTTCATCTCTATTATGGTCTTGTTAATAGCATTCACAACCGCGCTTTTCCCGTCCTATGCAGTATGCCATTGCTTGTAACTCCGGCTCTGCTGCTCGCTTTTCTCCCAACATACTCTTTCTGCTATTGTAATTTCATCTTCTCAAGACGATAATCTCTTCCGATCCATATATATATATGGTAAAAGGACTCTTTAATCGTGACACCACACGTTTGATCTAATCCAATATTTTTTTATATTGTACTACTTTCCTAGTGAGATATATATCTTGTAAAATTTAAATGAAAAAATAAAGCAAAATATATTAATTAAATACCAATATTTTATGAAAAAATCAATATAAATACCAAACGAAAATCCCAAAAAAACACGATAAAAATGAAATTTAAACCAGATTTGATTAGCGTTAAGCCATTAGCACCAATTAGAAGCTCTTAATATCCCTCAAAATAAAACAAGCTTTACAAATACAGTTTCTCTGGAAATGGAAAAGCGATCAAACTAAACCATCTACGTATATGGCTACATCAAGACGAGTCTGTATCTTCCCGAGGAAAACAGTATTAAGCAAAATCAATCACAACTGAATCTTCTAAGTATCACTACGTATATGGCTACATCTATTAAATAATGAAAAATGCCATAAATTAATGATTGACATATAAAGCAATTGCAACTATGTTTTGTAGTTTTTAGTGCCTTTTGCAGGAGGTGAACGGCTGGGTTTTACTGTGATCTTCTTTCCCTTGTGTATGTGAATCTTTCCACCTTCTTCATCGACTTGTAACACATCAAAAACTGATTATAATTATTTTCTTAACTAAACATTACAATGTTTGGACTTATGCATGAATTAAACTATATATAGAAACTTACTAATTTTCCGGTTTCTAGAAAATGGAGTGATGGTCGAATTGGAAGATGTGATGCATAAAAGTAGAAGCGTAGCTATTAGAATGAACATAAAACTCATTTTTCTTTGCTTTTTCTCTTCTGTCTAATGTCTATGATCAGAATAAAGAGAATACAAATTTGTTGTTCTTTTCAAGTATGAATAAATAGACAATATTTTATAAACTTTTTTTTTTTTTGTTATTCTATAGGCAGAGATTATATATATAGTCGGTCTCACCATTGTTGTTGATATGTCATATGTATAAGTCAATGCATGGAATGCGCGGGTAGACTTTTTAGTCATGTACTTTTTTCCTTATATTTCCATGGGTTTGAAAAATTCAATGTTAATCATCAATTTGGGAAAGAAAGTATTTGAAAAATTCTCATTGTCGTATCACTCAATACGCAATTTTAATTTATTCCTAGTATATCAGACATAAATGAAACAACATCTTAACAAATATTTATTATCAAAAAAACAAAAAACTTAACAAATAATCAGAATTAAATCACATGGTAAGATCACAACATGTCAAATGCATCCAAATATCAGGTATAGAAATACTGCCGTTCAAATAATTGAGCTCATCTATGCGTAGGTTAAAGGAAAACCAGAAAGCCCTAATGCAATTTATTTGTTGTAGCGCGTTTGGAAATTGTCAAAATAGTAGCATGAAATTGTTTTCCATCAGAACCCTTAACCACGTACATACTTGACTTTGGTCCATGCAACACGTTATCAGTTTGTAAATACATATTTATTTTTATAAAGAATAAGTTTTTGAATGTTGTTGGATCATGACTAAATTGACATTGTTTAAAAATCAATAGCGCATGGAAAGGAAACAAAAAAACTCATACACATTTGAAGACTATATACTAATATTGGTATGGTACATTACTTACTATTTTCTTTTCATGATCAAAAAGAGCTTTATGACTATAAATCTGTTTTATAAAAAAAAAATTATGTATAACTAGGATTCCAGACCCCCGCGATATTGCGGATGGAAATATTTCAATTTAATTATATTGTAACAATTTTGATTTTTTTAAAATAATAAATCAATATGTTTACGAAAATTATGATAAAAAAAACCCTCACAAGCATTTATTAAGTATATTACTATTATAAAAACATTAATTTGTACCTAAAAAACTATTCCCAAGCGCAAAAAGCATCAAATAAACCATATGTTACAACGGTTTGATAAATAAGCCAAAATATTCATTGGTTCGTCAAATAAATCAAATGCTACTATGTTAAATTAAACTGTAAAAACAATTCATTTAAATATATTTTAGTAATTAAATATTTTAAAAAAATTGACGACCTTTAACCGAGAGACGCGACCGTAGATATCAAATATACCAAAAGTTGCAACGGTTAATCAAATATACCACTGGTTGCAATGGTTCATCAAATATACTAAAGATTACAATGGTTCGGAAAACAAAACCAAAAGTTGCAATGATTCGTCAAATAAACCAAAATATTACAACAGTTCAATTAAACGGTTACAATCTCATTTAAATACATTTTAATAATTAAAAATTAAAAATAATAATTTATGAAAAGTTATACTGACAGTAGATGATTAAATGTAATAACGATTTATAAAAATATACTCAAAGTTGCAATTTTTCTTGAAATACGCTAAATGTTGCAATGGTTCAACTAAACAGTTGCAACCGTTTTACGAAAAGTTACAATAAAAAGATGCAACCGTAAAAAATATTTACTCAGATAGCAACTTTCTCAAAAAACAAAACGTAAAATAAAATTTTTAGTGTAAAAAAATAAACGAAATGTTGCGATATACCAAAAGTTTTAACGGTTCATCAAATTCGTCAAATAAACGAAGTATTACAACGGTTCGTAAAACAAAACCAAAAGTTACAATGATTGGCCAGATTAAACCAAATGATTCAACGGTTCCATTAAACGATTACAATCTCATTTAAATACATTTTGGTAATTAAAAATTAAAAATATTAATTTATGAAAGTTATACCGAGAGACGCGACGGTATATAATTAGATGTTATAGCGATTTATAAAATAAACCAAATGTTGCAATTTTTCGTGAAATAAACTAAATATATAAATCAAAGGTTGCAATTGTTCGTGAAATAAACTAAATATATAAATACATTTTGGTAATTAAAAATTAAAAATATTAATTTATGAAAAGTTATACCGAGAGACGCGACGATATATAATTAGATGTTATAGCGATTTATAAAATAAACCAAATGTTGCAATTTTTTTTGTGAAATAAACTAAATATATAAATCAAAGGTTGCAATCGTTTTTGAAATAAACTAAATATATAAATAAAAGGTTGCAATTGTTTGTGATATATACTAAATATATAAATTAAAGGTTGCAATTGTTAGTGAAATAAACTAAATATTGCAATCATTCGAATAAGAGGTTACAACTATTTATCAAGAGTTACAATAAAAAATTGCAACCGAAGAAGACAGTCGGATTGCAATTTTCTAAAAAACATAACCGTAAAATATATATTTTAGTTTAAAACTTTTTTAACGAAAAAATGCAATTAAAATACACAACCGTTCAAATGTGTAAAAGGCATTTCTTGAAATTGCTATTATATATAGATTTCAACATATTAAAATTAAGATTTTTCAAAAACATATATTTAGTTTGATAATATTTACATTACATGCCATTATGACATCTTTCAAAATCCTATACTGTATTCTATAAAAAGGTGGATTTAGTAATTTAAAGTTCTCTCATTTGGATTAAAAAAAAAGTGTTTGGTTTGATTTGGTTAAAATATTTGAATACCTAACATATTTCCATTAATACTCTTAATTCATTGTTGCAGTAAATTGAGTTATTTTGTTGTTGCATTAAACTGAGGTGATTTAGATTTGGTCAATTCAAAATTTTCAACTGAGGTGTTTTAGTAATCGAGTTTTTTTTCGTCATCGTCGTTTCTGGATATACGAGGATCTATATTTGCATGTCTTGGATCCATCTTGCCAGTTTGGAAACCTAGGATCTCCTAGCTAGCTGTGAAGTAGTTTTTTATTCACTATAAGAGAATTAGCTTATCATTATCTATACTTTTCGACTTACAGTTCTTTTTATGCGTTCCAGAAGTTTGGTTGTTTTATACCTGAATTCTGCTTTCTTGATTTAAGGTTTTATAGATTGCCTTTGTTTTTGTTTACGGGTCATTTCTCTTTTGGTTAGAAAATGTCTTTTCCTTTCTTAGGATTTAATCTTCAAAGAAATTTTGTTTTCTGTTGGCTCACTTTCGAAGATTTTAGTTCCGTTAGTTTTATATTGTTTTATTGAAAATAGGTAAAAAAATTTGAGAGGAAAAAATAATGATAGAAATAATTTTTAAAATGAATAAGCAATTTTCAAAATAAAGGGTTCGAATGGTTGTGGCGGTTAGGACAGACAAATTCGTTTGCGGTTTAAACCCCTATATGTTTACCAATCATAAACTATATTCTATAGTAGCACGAATTAAAAAAAGTAGAACAAGTCTGCGGCGGACTATATACATACTACTTTTACGTAAAGATAAATTTGGTCTACGGTGTTTTGTTGTCCACTCCAAAATAGAGTGGTTTAGTCTGTTAACGGTTTGGTCTGCTTTGCCTATATCATCTATTCGAAACCAAATTTTTAAAAAGACCAAAAAGAATTAAAAACAAAAAAAAGATCATGTGTATGAGCTGCGGAAGAGAATCTTAAAATAATAGTACAAAATACAATCATTGGATGCTTAAAGACTTGTTCCAAAGCCGTATCGGCGTATCCTATCAAAAAAAACTTAAACGCATCAATTTTATCAACTATCATCACTGCAACTCTCTCTCTTTCAAGCCTTGTCTGTAGTTGAATCGAAAGCTATGTCTCAGGTATCGATTCTCTTCTTTGAATTCCCAATTTTTGGATCTGGGTCATTCTAAAGATTGTTCCTTTATCGCAATTTCGGGATCTAGGTCTGATCTTCCTTCTCCTTCTCCATTCCCTCGATCTAGATATGATGTAACAATTGATCTGTGATTGTATCAATCTGTTGACTCCAGTTTCAATCTTTGTATATCGAAAAACATTGAAAAGACTAGACTTTGACACTTTGATTAGGCAATTGGTTTAAAAGCATATTCAGACAGGATCATGACCATAGATCTTGAATCTGAAAAAGGGTTTAGTATCTTGTGTTTGGTTTCAGATGATTCTGAGTTATTTAGTTAGTGTTTCAAATGGTAGATCACTTTTGTTAAGCTGAATCTGATTCTTTAGCAATTTGAGTCTGTTTAAAGCAATCTTAGCTAATACTATTGTCTTGTTCGTTTGATCTAAGTGGTTTAGTTCTGTTTTTTTTTTCGGTCTAGACCGTTGTTCTTAGAGTGGCGATGACTTGCGAAGGATGTGTTGGAGCTGTGAAAAGAGTTCTTGGGAAAATGGAAGGTTAGTTTTTTTTTTCTTTGGGCTATTGATGTTATGGTCTGTCTCAAAATGTTTCAAACCAATTGTTTCCTCATCCCATTTGGCGTATCGTAAAGTCGTAAACATGTAGATTCCGCGAAAAAGATTGTCGATATCGCGGAATCTGCAATGTTTTCAGTCTTTTTAAACTTCTTTTGCTTCAATTTCAAAAGCATGGACACTATATCTATACTCGGTTTTTGGTTTCAGGTGTGGAGTCATTTGATGTGGATATAAAGGAGCAGAAAGTGACGGTGAAAGGTAACGTGCAGCCAGACGCGGTTTTACAGACGGTGACAAAAACCGGAAAGAAAACGGCTTTCTGGGAAACCGAGGGTGAAACTGCCAAGGCTTAAGGAGAAGCAAAGCAGAGCATTTTATGTGATTCTCTGTTTTAATAAAATCAATGTGGAATCGTTTTATTCTTCTTCTGTTGCTTGTGACTTGTGGCTGAGTGTATGGAACTATAGAAGATACAACACACTTTTGAGTGAATAAATATGCACTCAGGCTTTGTCGGGTCGGATAAAGCACGAGCCGATAACTAAAAAGGATGCAGTTTTTATTTCATGGTTGCAAAATCAGGCCATCTTCTGGACTATGGTGATTATGCACCTATTGTCTAATGTAGCTGCAAGAGGTTTCACTTGGAATGTCAGAAACAAACTTAGAAGAATTCTTACAGTATGAAAGCATCTCAGTTCCTTTACAAAGCCATAATAGATGATTAATCCAATTAGGCTTATGGCAACCTTTTCCTTGGGCTTGCTAAATTGTGTTTTCACAAGCTAGAGACTTAGAGGATGAGATGACCAAAGACCAAAGTCAAAACAATTCATGTTGTTTGGAAGAGTTTTAAGACGAGATTGATCCCATCATTATTTTCATTAGCTAATGAATCTTCCTATTCACTACAACTCTACAACATATGACAAATCCTTAGATGCAGTTGAATCTTCCTCAGAAGAACCAGGCTCTGAAAAGTTTGATGTTTTAAGAGAAAGTAAAGCTTTTTTTTTTTTAGATAGCCATGAGTAGAGCTGATTCGGGATTTTACCGCTAAATAATTTCTTTAGAGTGAGTGTAGCCGTCGAGTAAGCCAGTTACTCACCAAATTTTTTTTACGACATTTTTTTTTTGGTAGGAATTTTTTTTACGACATTGCATCCATATTTTTGCAACCACTGGAAATGGTGTCATGCTTTAAACCATTAAATTAGATATCAAATTCTGAGGATCATAACACAATTTTTCTTTATAAAGAGACCGCATTTGAGGTTAATTCATTGACCAATGATGACACATTTCCACGCAAACTTAGTCTTAATTAAACCTATATATGAGACTGAAAAATTAATTTAAATATATCAATTTCTATTCGTTTGTATGTACTATAATCACAATTCATACACTAACGTTTTAACTAGGATACAGATTATATGAACTAAATTATACTTTGATATGAAACTTTTTGTGACATATAATATGTTATTCTCATTTCCTCAATAATATTTTTGTTTAAGAGAATATATATAGTTTAGAAAGCATATTCAAGGAATGGTGAGAGGATATCATGTGTCACGATAAAAGATATTGGATGGGCCATTATGGAAAACATTATCATCATTATCTGCCTGCCCCATCCAGTTATGTATCTCCACCTGTCTCCACTTCCTTAATTATTCACATGTACAACTTAATTACGAACCTAAGTACACATAAACACCATTGGTTCATATACCATATTAGATCATGCCAAATTAACAATATTACTTTTTCAATATGTAAATATTTCTTTATGATCTTCTATGACGAAGTTCAAACCATACAAATTAATTTTTTTGGAGAATAAACTCTTTCCAACACAGATCGATTCCGTGATCTCTAAAGTTCATATGTTTTAGGTAAATTATGAATTTAACAAGTAGACCAATTCATCATTCGTTTATTTATACTTTTGTATATATTACAATTAGTGTTTGTTTTCCAATATTATATAATTTACTTACAAAACAATGTCAAATTTCTAAAGTGACTCAAATGTGGTGTTAACACGTTTGGATTTTCTTTTTCAAAGTTTTATTATACAAGTACAGACTTTCAGTTTATCATGCTATTTCATTGCAAGGCATATAGTGGACAATATACATCGACCTTTAATTTTCTGACAAAACAAAAATACATCGACCTTTTAATCTGATACTATTTCTTTGCATTGTAAACCGTGAACCGACCTTAACACTAAGAAGCAGTTCTTATCTTGTTTGCTATAGTTCGGCGAACAGTGAAGCATGCACCGACCATGACAATATAAGAGTATAGGGCCCTGTCTTTTATTGTTTTTTTTGTTTTTTCATTTTTTTTTTTTGCCAATTAGAGGAAAGAACACTAACAAAAAAGTTTGGAAGTAACATTTTGACAAGAACCCCTAAGTGTGGTTAAAAGCGTGCTAAAGTGCTACCGTCCGAGTTCGAAAACTAGGTGTTACATTTTAGAGAGGAGGATTTACGCTTGTAGATCCGTAACAAATATTATCAAAATTTTGTTACTCGACTCAAAATAATGACATGCCAAACGTTTGAAAATTTCTTTGTTACAAAAAAAACTTTTAGACAAAGACCTTTACATCGACATGCACTGTTGTTTATAATTCGGTGGAGAAAGGAAAGTACCTTTAATGGTACATTTGCAATTATGTATTTCTATATGAATCAATTACGGATTTGCCATTTTTTTAGTGACATTTGTTGATTATGCCATTTTTTTTTTTGAATAGTTTGTAGATTTTGCCATTTTTTAGACAACAAAAATTTGATTTAATTTAACATGCGTTTTATCCATTATGTTTGGGTTTAGTCGGTTCCATTAGTTCTTACTTCTTAGGGTTTAGTATTTGGTATAAGGTACGTATTTTTGCAAAAAAATTCGTAAATACGTACATTCTAAATATTAAAAAATGGCTTTTCCGTAAGATTTTAGTAAAAATAGCATTTTCGAAAAACTTTCTAAAAAATGGCATTTTGAACAAGAATCCCTTTCTATATACATAAACATTTCTATCATTCTATGACTTGTCTCCCTTTTTTGTTACATTAGACCATCTCCAATGGTTGGCTCTATTTCTTACTCTAAATTTAGAGTTCTCTATAATTAGAGCAGAGATTTGCTCTAATAATATTCTATAAATAACATAATTCATTAATTCCACTCACAACATCCAACCATTCCACTATTTTCTGTACATATATTCACCTTCTCTTTTTTTTTTTAACTAGAATGCCTCGTTCTACTGGATATTCTAAAGAAGAAGATAAGTTTTTATGTCAAGTTTATATAGAAATTTCTCAAGATCCAATCACCGGTGTTTACCAATCATCCGACCATTTTTGGGATCGTGTGACAGAATCTTTCAAAAATGGAAAAAATCCAACTTGGAGTGAACGTTCAAAAAAATCTCTCCAGTGTCGATTACAAACTATTGAGAAAGCTATAAGAAAACTACATGCATCCATTAAACAATGTGATAATCGACGTTCAGGTGCTGCGTCAAGTGATGATATAGTGAGTATTCTCTATATTTTTATGATTTTCTGATTATTTATTTATTTATATATATTTCTAAATTGTATGTAGTTCAATCAAGCGAAAGAAATGCTAATGCAAGATAAAAATTTCAAATCTGGTTGGAAATTTGATCATGTATGGAACATTATTAAAAACTTTGATAAGTTTAAAGATGGTGCTACTCCGGCTAGAAAAGTCTCAAATCTATGCAGTTTCGGGTGTACATCTTCAGAATCAAAAGATCCTACCTCCGATTTTGTTTCACAAGCGTCTCCAGGTTTAGCTTCATATTCTCTTAACTTAGATGAAGAAGATGACATTATTGGCATATCTCCATCTGAACGACCAATTGGAGTGAAAAAATCAAAATTGAAAAGAAAAAATGATGATCAAACATCAGATGTTATCAAGACTTTGGAAGAAGGGAATAAACAACTCGTGAAACAATTAAAGAAGACAAGTGAACAAAGACAACAATATTTGGAGATGCAAAGTAAGATTTTAGCATTGAAAGAACTAAAAGAAGAAAACAAAGTTCTATACCGAGACTTAAATTCCATAGAAGATCCAGCTCTCCGTGCATATCTTCGATCTGAACAAGCAAAAATATTAAGGAAAAGACTTGATCAACAAGCTTAGTCGGCATCTAATTCATTTGGTCAATATTTTGATAATCTTAGTAGATCTTGAAGCGACCTACCGGATTATCAAATCACTAGTTTATGGTGTGTTAAGTTTTTTTACGGCAAATTTAAACTTGTTTATGTACTTTTAGTTTATCATAGGTGATGGCATTATTTGCTTATTTAATATATGTTACTGTTATATTTTTAAATTTCAAATAATTTAGTAACTATGATTTTTAATATATATATTTATGTATGTATATAATTTTGTTTAGGTATAAAATAATACTATATTAAAATTAACAGAGTACTTTGTAAATAAAAAGTTGTGCTCCAAAAATAGAGATATTAATAGTGTTGCTCTAATCTCTATTTTTAGAGCAAAATATAAAGTACCATTGCAATAATTTTACACTAAATATAGAGATTAGCGCAAGATATAGAGCAGAGGGAGATGTTCTTAGTTCAAGTTTTTGCATTGATTAATTTAAAGAGTTATTTTCGTTAAAAATGACTAGTACTAATCATATTTATTAAAGAACTGAAGATAAACCGACACATCATAGAATATTCACGATGAGAAATTCAATATATTAAAATAAAGCCGTGCCAACAATTGATTGATCGCTAGAATATTCACGATGAGAAATTTTGATGTTCCAGTTCTTTTTAATAAAATAAATTTCTAAAGTATAATGGTCACGAATGCAAAACATGATGAATGAAAATTTTTATAATTGAGAGTTATTCGATAAAATAAGACAATGATTTGTAAGCTTGCTACGGTATGAGAGTTGTTACTAATTTACTATTAACTGACGAAACGATTATATATAGTAATTTGAGAATTGTTAAATTTAATAATAGCAATGAAGACGAATAACAAGGAAAGTAAATTCTAAGTAATCACGAAGGCTAATTGACAAATTCTCGGCTGTAATAATAACTATCACAAGCAAGTTTTACCTATTAGCGTTTGCTTATTCAACTCACCAAATTTTATTAAATCAAATATCAAATTCTATGAATGTGATTGGTAACATTTTGTCACACGATCAAAAATACATTGATAACTATATTTCTAACATTTATCGTTTATTTTACGAATCGTTTCTATAAATTTTTAAAATATATTTTTTGTTGAAATATATGAAAAAAAAAAGAACTAAGAGAAGAATGAGAGTCCTCTCGTTTCATGATTAACTTATGAGCACTCTCAGACCACACAAACACAAACTCCTAAGTAGCTTATTCTACCAACCACTCACTTTTGATTTTATTTTATTTAGACCTTTTTCTTTTTCCAATTATAAGTGAACAATT